ATAATTCGGGTTTTAATCAATAATTATGTCTTCTTTTCGAAAAAAAAACGGGATATTTCTAGATGCATACGACCGCGTAATGTGTGGAATACTGTACGGACTTCCTTTCGAGATTTGTCAAAAAGTTGATGCAGTGTGTGGGAGGGAAAATATTGCTCAAAACTGCCAACAGCATTATTACATCATGCAAGTCAAATCCTTCTCAGTTATGCAAGGTTTTTCGAGATCGGAACCACACGTCTAGCCTTGCAGGTACATGAGCATGCAGAAGTTCTGTGCAAATATTATTCATTTGCATAATGTGGCGCTGACAAGGTGAACCAGCATGTACCGGTACTCCAATTTATTTGCCTAAACGGCTCGTTTTAAGGCATGGGAAACATATTACGGCTCACGTTCATTCAATTTATTTCCAACTGCATTTGAATCATGTGCATTTATTCGACGACAATTTTTGTGAACGCTGATTTAAATTTGCTTCATCGTGATGCACATTTTGTCATGCTATAAATTTAGTTATGATACCGTGGAAGTCAAATAACTTTATCGATGCTGAAATGTTATCCCTGGATCAGCTGAAAGTTACAGCATGAACGTTTTTGATTTTCCCGACACGTTGCTATTAAATACCGTACACAGAGTACTGTATTACGCACATTTTTTTAAAATTAGCATTATGTAGACTTTATGAAATCATTGCCATTATCCCCGTCCATCTATAGCCTCACAAATGCTGAACCTCCATTTGTACATAAAGAAACATAGTTGTCATAATTTCCTTGAAGGTGCTCTTCATATTCAAATGCAAAGACGGCGAAAACGTTCCCAAGATCGTGAAGTGCGCGTAAATATGTTCAATTTCCGCAAGGAAAAACATAACAAAACAAAAGAAAATCGAGGATGACAACGTTTCTGCATTTAGCTTGAGAGAAACCGCTGATATATATCTTGCATCATAGATCTAAACTTCTCCGCTATTTTTTTTTCAAAATGCAATACTGCTGATTATTTTCGCTTCGCATATTTCCGTGTAAACTCAAGTCACGAGAAACAGGACTGCGAACATTTCTGAGAGCAAAGGCGCCAAACTAATTTTCCTCTCCTACACCACGATTTGTACCAAACGCCGGAAAAAAAACGACAGAAGCAACAAAAACAAAAGGAAACCCCGTCCGACCGACAGGAAAAGCGTCTGCAACTCGAGTCGAGACCAACGTGGGCACGAATTCCCGCGACGCCAAAATTAAAACAAAGTTGCCAAAAAAAACACAAAACAAAGAAATCTGAGGAGAAACAAATTAGAAAAATAAGTAAAACAAGAAGAAAATAAATTGAAGTCAGGGCAACGAACGAGCGATCGCAGTGGAGCGAAAAACGCACACGGGGGAAAAGTTCGAAATATAAAAGGGACGCCGAAGAATGCAAGTTCTTCGGAGGCGGAGGAGGGGTTCGTTTCGCGGGTACCCAAACAAGCATGCAGCAACGGAAACACAAACCCCCGTCTGATGCCACCCTTCTTGGAACCCAGCAACCAGTACTGTACAGCTGCTGATGTAACAAAACAAAACAAAAAAACGAAACTGGAAAAGGACTCCCTCTTTCCCGTCAATTCTTCTTTTCATTTTTTGGCTCCAAGAAACGGTTGTGCTTTATTGCGTTCCGCGGGTTCGCGAAGGTTTCCCTTGCCCGTGAGCGGAAGGAAGTGATTTACGAGACATGCACAGGCAATCTCATGCTTGGGCGGAAGAATAAATTAATGAATGAATGGGGGAAAAGTCTGCAATTTTTTACTGGACTCAGATTCTGATTTGCGATGCGCCAGAAAATTGGCGAACGTGACAGATGGAGGTGTAGGTCATTTCCCGTTGGTTATTATTGATGTATGAAGCTGGCAAATATTGTTGAGGTTTGCTGAGGGGCTATGTTTCTTGAAAGTGAGCTAGAATCGTTTTGAACAGTCGATAATTAATTATATTTACACACGAGAGACATGGAAGATGAAATGATCAAAGATCAATTCCCTTTTTGTGCAATTTTACGCTGGTATACTTTATTTTTTTTTCAATTGCGAATAGCGCATTAAACCGAAATCCAGACGCTCATTCAGCACAGCTTCTATGCGATATTAACCTGAATTCCCATCAATATTAAAAAATTCAAAGCGCACGATTTTCATGTTTGAAAATATTTCAAATGTCTGAGATCGATTTACAGAATTTAAAAAAATTCGCGATGATGCGAGAACAACGAATGGAAACCCAGAAGTTACATTATACAAGTGAAATTCCATTGTAATGAATTCCAGTTTTTTTAATGATTCATCATACTGTACTGTACTAAAAAATGATTTTTCGAAGGTTCCTTAAAATAAGCACTCCTATAAAAATCCACTTGAATCACTTTTTTTTAAAGATTCAATTCAAAAAATGATACGGTAAAGGAAAACGATCATCTGATTGACTAGTGCTTCAGATGAAAGCCACAATCGCTCGTAATGATGAAACAGAAGACGAAAGGAATTTCGTGAGGAATTTTAATGGACGGATAGATTTTTCGGCGCCAAGAACTTCGATTATTGGCTCCACTCTCTATACATACAGAAACCCACTCAGTCGAATCTTGGAACGGTAGGTGATATTCTTGTAATTTAAAAAAAAATCGAGTCGAATCCGACGAGAATTCAGTATTCCTGAAATAACTTCGAATAAATATGAAAGACGAGGAAATAGAAGAAAAATTGATATTCAATTTCTGCGCCGACGACGTGGGAACAAGTTCTGTTTTATTGCGTTACTCGCAAAATCATTCACTGGAAAGGGGAATCAATTCCGCTGCCGCGTTATTCGCTAGCAATTCCTAATCTTTTTTTTTCTCTCGAATTCCAGTCATTCTTTTATTCGAATTGCCTTGATATCAAACTTGGTGCTGTGTTTGCAGAATGCGAAAGTCACTCACATAAGTCACACCATGATTATTATTTTGTTCGCGGAACACGTTCCAGCGTGCGTAAACAATTCTCTACCGCAATTCTTTCAAATAATCCAACAAATAATAAGGAAGCTCGTTCAGTTTGACCTTCGGTATAATTGAACTTACGCAAACACTCTCAACTGTCTCCCTGTAAACTATGTTTGAGCGCTCTTTTTCTTCGAGACGAGAGAGCTTACTGAGTTCTCAATGAAGTTTTTAGAGCAGCAAATTAGACTTCGAATCGGCCGCTTGCTCTAATCTTATATCAAAACCAAGTCCTTTTCTATCACTATTTTGAGATAATTTCTTTTCTTTCCAAAGAATGAAAATAAGGAAATTTCAAATAAAGTAAAATCCCGTCCCTATGTTGAGATTGATTGAATAGATACGGTTAGTCAAAATGAAATAACAGATTTTTTCTTGCCTGCTAAATTGTGTGAACAGCGTGAACGTCTGAATCGAAGAATAACTTCGCATTGCTCTTTCAATCTTTTCGTAAATTAAAATTTATGTCGACATCATCTGATTCGGTTTTTTTTTGTGTGTGAGAATTGAGACGAAAATCTGCGGTCTGCTGACAAATAGTTTTTTTTTCTCCTCTCAACAAATATCGGAAGCAATTCGTAAAATTCGTAGATAACCTCGAATATCTAGTCTTGACAATCAAAAGAATATTTCCTCGCTGGCTAATTGTTATTTCTTTTTAATGATTTGAAGTTACGTAAAATAACCGTCAGAGGAATCGCATAACTCTTTTAATATTGCACTTCGGCAACTTTTTTCACACGCTGTCTTCAAAATTTCCGAGCTCAAGAATGTTTATACTATTCTTAGTGCGGTAGGGATTAAAAACATCGACTTCTTTACTTGAGGTCAAACTTAAAATAAGTTGTTGTATGTCATAGAATACTGCACGTTCTCCGTAACGCTAGCTTACGCTGTTTCAATTGGGTTTCAGCTCCGTAGAATTATGCTCGCTCGTTCTGAAAACGAATCCAAAAATCCAAATAAAAATGAATTCCGGGTTGAACCAGATATCTCCGGATTTTTCAGGTTTCTATGTCGATTTTTTCAGGCAGGGATCCAGGAAATGTCCTAACACGTGTCGGCCCAGCATTTCGCTTTCAATTTCGCTGAAAGTTCGAAGATGAGTGCGCCTTAGCTGTAAGCTGTGCCTAGGCACGACTCTTTACGAAAGGCGTGAAGTGAAATACCCAATCTTTACAATATATCAGAGAAAACGACGGAAAGTATACATTCGGTTTTTAAGGAGATGTGCAGATATTCACGGAATGATCCGCATGCATCAATTTCAGAAATAAATCATCAAGAGGACACCAACAGTAATTACTTTTGTTGAAGCCCGTGATTTTCCGGATTCCATCTCATCCACTTTGAAAATTAAACGGCGCCCGTCCGCCAATAAATTCACGGGCGGATATTCTTCCAACGACACTGCGAAGATTCATGTTTTTAAAGAAATACCCGAGCTAGTACTCCGTGCCAAAATCACTCAGAGCAAAGATATTCACTCTAATGAAGGCATCCCTCACTAGAAATCTGATTCCAGGGAAGAAGAAACTATATTTCTAGCATTCAAAGAACCAGAACGAAGTCTGAATGGTGACCGGGACTGTTTCCCAGCGACACGCCCCCATTCGCCTCGGAAATTCTTCCATGTTTCTAAGGTTGTCTTAAACCGAAGCAAAATCACGAAAATATATTTTTTTTAAAGATTAAAATGTTATAAAAAAGAAGGAACTCATCGACGTCAACGCCGTGTTTTTCTGGCTGACTTCCAGCGACACGGAAAAGGGGACCAAATGCTTGAATTTTTACTTCGCTTCGAAACAAAGCTAAGTCATTATTCGATGAGTTCACGACCTTACATTCGGTATTTGTTCAAAAAAAGAAAGGTCAAGTTTATTTCTGGACTTGGCCGCCGAGGAATTCTTTCGACAACACAATTTTGTCACACTGGCACCGAATTGTCAGACATTTAGGTATTTTTTCTATCAATAATATTGTCACTGTGCAACATTCGTATTCTAAAAAGAGCAACCGAAAATGTTTTTGATCGTCTTTCAATTACTTTTTTATGTGCTATTATACAAATCCAGTACAAATTTGAGGTTCAGGCGTACGAATCTCGCATCCTATTAAAAATATGCCTTCAAATGGAATCATAGTCGATTCATTAAATAATATACAAGCATCAGCACTGACGTGAATTTTTAGTTTTGCTGTTTTCACTCTACTGGATAGAAAAATCGCTCTGTCTATATGAGAACCTTGGCAAATATTTGGTGAAAAATTCAGAAAGTATTGCAAATTGCGAAGCCGCAGATACGCTTTACCGAGTTTCGAGGACCTTTTCACACCGGAACGGACATTAATAATTATAGAGTAAGCACTAAACAAATTTTAAATCGTCAAGAAAAAAAAAAAAAGCGAAGCCACAGACACGCGCTTTGCAAATTTTCGCAGCGCTTTTCGCTAAGAAATGACCATGATGCTGATGTGAGTATCGCAATAAAAATAAATGCAGTGAGACCCCCACATGCGGACACCTCGACATGCGGACAATTTGACATAGGAACACTTATTTTCCCATTAAAAACTTAATGAAAAGGCCTGACATGAGGACACTAACTTGACATAGGGACATTTTGTGAAAAAATTACAAATAAGTTTCAGGCAAAATTACAAGAAACATATTTATAAACCCTAAACATGATGTAAGAAAAGTTCACCAATTTGCCATCCATTTAGCTAATTTTAAAAAATTACCTCCAGCATAGAGGACATCCTTCTCCCTTTATTTTCACTTGAATGTTATTTTGACAGAAAATGCCAACATTTCCATGTACTGTATACAGAGATACAGTATCAATATTCAATTCAGTGGAAATACAGTACAGTACAGTGAGACTCCAAGATGCGGATGTAATTGGTGCATCAAGAGTGTCCCCAAGTCTAAATGTCCCTAAATCAAGTCTCATTTTCCCTTAGACTTACATTATACAATTTTTAATTGGTGTTCTATGTACAAAATACTCACCATAATTCCATGAAAATAAAAATTGTCTCCCAATTTAAACTGATTCAATCAATATATTTCAACACAATATGGGCATTTGAGGAATTTAATACTGATACCTCTTTACAGTACATTGATATGTTGGCATTCTCTGCAAAAATAATATTTGAGTGAAAAAGAGAGAAGGAAGTCCTTCTCTGCTGAAGGTAATTTTTAAAATTAGCTAAATGGATGGTAAATTGGTGAGAGAAATGCCAAAGAACTTTTCTTTCATCAATTTAAGGGTTGGAAATATCTGTTTCTTGTAATTTGGCCTGAAATATTTTTGCAATTTTATAACAAAATGTCCCTATGTTGAGTCAGTGTCCTCATTTTGTGCGTTTTATATTAATTTCTTATGAGAAAATAAGTGTCCCTTATGTTGAATTGTCCGCAGGTCAAGGTGTCTGCATGTGGGGGTCTCACTGTATATTGATTGAATCAGTTTCAATTGGGTGACAATATTTTTTTCATGGAATTATGGTGAGTATTTTGTCCATGAAACACCAATTTAAAATTATATAATGTAAGTCTAAGGGAAAATGAGACTCAACTTAGGGACATTTTGAGCAAGGGACACTCTGGATGCACCAATTACGTCCGCATCTCGGGGTCTCACTGATTTTAAAAGTATTTTGAATTTCTCCGAAGTTTGAATTAAATAGCGAAGGTAAACTGGTCGCCTTGACCCTGTGCGAGTGTGAAGGCGAAAATTCTTGGCACGAGGTCCAGCTGGTAAAAGAGAGCATCATGTGCACGTGCCAAACGCGTGTGTCGGTCGTTAAGCTCGGGGTTTGATGCCTTGTCCTGCGCGTGCAATTTGTCAAAGCGGTACTAATTCGAGTGCTATATGAAGATAACGGGGATTCTGTGTATGCATTTTGAAGGGGAAATTTCAGCAATAAAAAAAAAACAACATGGAATTGACTAACCTGAGTTTCAATGCTGGGATCTGCTGAGTGCTGATGATCGGGAGTTCCGAGGTCTTCGGATGATTCCTGAACGATTTCAGGCGCGTCGTTGACGTCATTAATGACGAGTTCGCCATTATTTGCCACGGATTTCTCTTCGATTTGAATTTCAACGTTTTCTTCAGCAGCAGCAGCAGTCACTTCTTCGCGATCAGCAGTTGATGAAGATTCGATGATAATTTTGGAATCATTGGGATTTCCTTTGTCATCAGTAGCTTCTCCGAAATCTGGTGGATCCATTTCAGACGGCGAATTTTGCTCTTCGGATAAATTGGTGTCAACTATCGTCGCTTCTTCTTGGCTTTCAGCTTCGACTTCAGAATTCACATCTGCTATTTGATCTTCGTCATTGGGAACAGTATCTTGAGTCCGAGTGATATCTTCAACTGCAACCTCTATACATCATAAAAGGGTCGTCCAAACATTTCGTATTACTTTTGAGAAATGGTAAAACGTTTTGGAAAATGATCTGGTGTTATTTTATCGAAATGCATTTAAAGGAGGGCCTTCTCGGAACTGCCTTCTCGAGTTGATTTTCTCGCATGAAAGTCGACAGCTTTTCTCATGAAATACTTTCAAAAACCTGGCTGCTTTCCAAGCATCAAACCTTCCGTATTCCTTTTGAAAAAGTCTAAAAATTTGCGGAAACGATCTGCTTTTATCGAAATGCCTTTACGGTTGGGTCTTCTTTGGATCGTAACTGCCTCCTTGTTATGACTTTCTCGCACGAAAATCGACAACTTTTCTCATGAAATATTCTTTAAAACCTGGCGGACTGCCAAGCATCCTTATTCAAGACAAACCGAATGGTTTTCAATCAATTGAAAGTGGCTGGACAAATTTTTGCTGCATCGAAAAGCATGAATTACTTGATGACTCAGGGAAAGAAAACATTTTTTTTACATTCAGTTGAGGAAACAAACAGGAGACAGGGAGCTAATCTGCTGAGCGGACTGATAAGTACTGAATTACGAAAATATATGTTGCGTGGCAGCAGCATGAGAATAAATTTGGTACTTGAGCCTGGTTGGAAACATGTCAAACTTATTCAAGCTCTGACATATTATTTTTCCGCAACAACGTGCTGAACGATATCTTTATGTATCAAGGTATGCTGTACTTTGATTAGTTCATGCAGTGATTTAAAGGATTAAATCGTAAGTACTGAAGTAAGTTTTCGGCATCATCAGTGGAAAACAAAATGAATCGAAATTAAGATTGTTTTCCTTTAAGATATTAAGCTTTCTTTTCTGAGAATAGAGGAAGAAGTAAACGTCTTAGGAGTTTAGGACACATCATAATCATGTTTCGAAGTTCGGTTTTTCATCCTCGCATTGAGGAAGTTCGTGGGCGTTTCGAAATTCGAAAAATTTCACATTTTCGCCCACAGGTCATTCAATATAGCTATTCGCCCTCTTCTGTGTGGATCACGTGAGTAATCCCGATATTTAATCGTAAATTATCTTTTCTACTTAAATCTCAATGGATCTCGAAAAATTAGACAAATAAAGGCTGCATCAACAGCCTGCCCCGAAAGCTGAAAGGAAATCGGTGTTCTCATTATTATCGAGTCCGAGACTTTCAGTCGGCGCACCTTGGGAATCGTCTGGTTCGGGTTCAGCGTCCGTGATGTTGCTAGTGTCTTCGATAAGACTACCCTCGAGGGTTTTATCCCCTTCGAGGGTCCGAGATGCATCAGGAATTCCGTCGGGAGAGGAAAGCGTGGGCGTGTCAGCAGGAGTAGCAGCAACACCAGTATCTGGAATTTCCGCTGCAGATCCCTTGATCCCGTCAGCTGCAAGTGGTATTTCTGCACTTTCATCTGTATACAGCATATATATACATATGTATGTATATATATATATTTGTGAATTGTATTTTCTTTTCTTTGTGTTATCAATTTGTGCTCTGTTTCCTGCTGAAGATGCTCCTGAAGTGGACCAAGTAGCGACATCTTCCCTTGAAATGAGAGAACTCGAGAAAGAAGACAACCGTCGATCGAATTACACGCGCGGAAAATTGCAATCCAAGAATTCCTGCTTGCGTCTTGAGCAAGGTATTTTTTCTGCACCGTATTGCAGTTCTTTTATTTTTTTTTATCAATTTGTTCTCTGTTTCCTGCGCTGAAGTGATTAAATGTCATTGAGTAGATTTGGGTTGGGTGGGAAGGGGGTTTGGTTGTGGAAATCTTGATTGAACCTTGTTAATGCTGAAAAGCGGCAAATGAAGTGTTCTGTTCATTCATATGTATGTATGGCAAAGGGGTTGACAGGGAATAAAAGCTTGGTATTGTTATTTCTTTGCATGTGTTTGGGAAATTTGGCTGACAAGAATGTCAGGAATGATTTTAAGAAGAAGTAAATTTCAATGAGTTTAGAAATGAATGTAACAAAGAATTTTGTTGGGCTGCAACCAGGGTGATGTTTCACCATATTCTAAATTTGTTGTCATTTGTACAAACACAATATTTGCAAAATTGCTCAAGTATTGTGTACAAGAGCTCAGGGAGAAGTGAAGTTTTTAGATAAAGTAGGAAAACATAAAAACTATCCTTTAAGGATAAATAAGAGTTTTTAGGATTTCCAGAAATTTGGCAATTAAAAGAACCTCGGCAGTTTTTGGGACAATTGGGTGTGTGAACCAGAGTTTCTCCTGGTTCACACAAAGATGTATGAAGACTACCGCATCTACTTAAGTACCACGCGCACTTTTTTTCTCAAATTTCAGAAGAAAAAAAGGGGTGCGCGTCATAAGCGGGTAGAAATTTTTCAAGAAGTTTTAGGAAGCTATGTGTGCATTATACCTAATTATAATGGAGAACTTGTTTATACTGAAAAAGTTGAAAATTGATCAGATTTTTATTCAATTCATGTCTAAAGTCCAATTTTTTGTTGTTAGTCTCAAAATTTTTTGGATTTAGATTCACTAAAAATTGGGGTGCGCATCTTGCTCAGGGATAAGGTTTTAGCAAAATTTCCAACTGAAAATCCCCTTTGCATGCCTTACTCAAGGGTGCATGCCTTACTCAAGGGTGCATGGTACTTGGGTAAATACTGTAGTTTTCTGAGAATTTGGATTCTTGGTTAGTTATTTGACATGACAAATTGTGCTCCACCGTAAATATTTGCAACAGAGATCTGTCGTGTACGTGTCACACAGGGGGCAACGTCTTATTGCTGGATGACATATAAGAGGAGATGAATCGGATCCTCTGGACCCCGAATGAATGAGTAGACTCGAATAAGAACGCAATATTTCACCCCTCCTTCAATGAAGCAGGAATGTAATTGTATCGAGAATTATGTGACGTCAAGAAATTAATCCTATATATGGGCTCGATTTCTGCCCGTTTTCCTCTTCCATATTCTGATTGCTTTACAACATATACAATTATTTTTATTTTTGTTATCAATTTGTGCTCTGAAGTGATTAAATGTCATTGAGTGGATTTGAGTTGGGCGGGAAGGGGGTTTGGTTGTGGAAATCTTGATTGAACCTTGTGAAGGCTGAGAAGCAGGAAATAAAGTGTTCTGTTCATTCATTCATACAACATATGCTTTCTTTGACAGATATTCGGCAATTTAAATTACAGCAAACCCGTTGTTTCGATAATTGATTGTGTTTAAAGATTCTTTATCATTTCTGATGTGTTGGGGACATATCATACAATAAAACCTTTTAAATTCCACGTCATTCTCAACGAAGAATTTCCTCGATTTTCTTAAAGTGTACGACGTTGAAATTTACTCTAATTTCGGGAAAATATCGGTAATTACTGTAATTTTAAATTTTGAAGTCGAATTCTTTTCAAAAAATGTTCAAAAAATTATTTTAGCCATGTCTTCTCGGCAAATTGACTTTACAGAATAACGTTTGCAAGATTTGAAAATATCTTCACAGATAACCCCATTCCCGCGTTTTTGTTTTACGAAAAAGTTTATTTTCTGAACTTTTTCATTTTTGCGACAATGTCATTCCGTCTGATTTGTGGAAAGTGCGGAAAAGACAGCATAGTAACTTTTAATTTTTAAATCCAGATTTTTCAAACATCTTCAGAATTCTCTTTGTGGCCGAGTCCGTTGGGAAAATTTTCTTATTGACAGCATAAATGTTGCAAGAGCAAAAATATTTTCGAAGAGCAGACGAGATAAAATATGTCAATACCATCTAAAATATCAAGGAATGCTTTTTTTAAATGACCCAGTTGACCCTCGTGTGACCTGAAAATGTTACCTGGTCCATCCAGAGATTCTTCTCCTCCTAAGGTCATATTGCCGTCTTTAGATATTTGCACTGCTTCGTTGAAAAGATCTTCTTCGTCTGCAGAAGTTGAAGAGTCCGCTTGTTCCCTGAAAATCAGGGCACCAAAAAAGGCTTTCAAAATATCTGAAAATAATTTCAAATATTCGCAGAGGACCCCGAATAACATTTCAAAAACGGAGGAAAGCAGGAAAATGTAATTATTTCAGTGTTTGAAAATAAACACTCATGCTCTTTTTTTTTTTTTTTGCTTTTGAAACCCGAAGGCTTATCACTAAATGATTTTTTACAAAGCCGTGATAACACAAACACACTCAGATGGACACACACTCATCCACGTGTAGAAAGTTTGTGCAAAGTGCGAATTTTTTTTTCACGCTAAACATGAAATTGGCAAGGATTCATCAATCCGACGCCTATATAGTGCAATTATACAGTCCGCAGAAAAACAAAAGAAGGCATTTAATATGTACTTATTCCAAGAATAATTTATTCAAAACCCATTTTCATCAGGAAAACTTTATCGGAGAATATTTAACGCCACGGGATTCTCATCTCTGTAACTACTTTTCGCCAAAGGAAGATTCAAAAATCAGCATTAAAGGAACTACTATGCGCATTTTTTTCCTATGTACAGTAAAAAAAATTAGCGGTGGAAGGGAGCGTTTAGAGGGGCCAGTTTTTTTTTTTTTTTTTTTTTGGCAGAAACTCACGATAGGTTTTCAACACCATCAGGTTTTTTGCACGTGCCACTACGTTGCAGATGTTCGGCAACTGGTTCTCCGTCTGGGTTGTTTGAAAGAAGATTCTCAGCCGTAATAACAGCTTCTGATGGGACTTGATTATTTGCCGGTTCAGCTGCACCAGATACGCTAGGACTTTCTGGGTCCAAATAAACACATGGTGCATCGATTTGCTCGCTATTCGGATAATGTCCGGGCTCGATTTCGGCTGGGGCTCGAGATAAGCTAATGGGGAACGAAGTCAGCGATGGAAGTTCCCTGGTGATAATTTCCTCAAGAGACGCAGTGTATGTTGATGAAGTTTCCGATGGTTCATCTGGGGTATCGCAAAGAGGATTCTGCTGTTCTTCTTGATAGTCACAAGTCAATTTTTCAGCGTCTTGCGAATGTTTTGCATCATCTTGTCCTAATCTGTGGGTAGATTCCGTTTCCGAAGTCTCTCGGTTGTCTTCTTTCTCGAGTTCTCTCATTTCAAGGGAAGATGTCGCTACTTGGTCCACTTCAGGAGCATCTTCAGCAGGCTTTCTATTTGAATTTCCGGTCTCTTGGTGGTCTTCTGTCTCGAGTTCTCCAATTTCAAGGGATGATGTCGCTCCCTGATTCACTTCAGGAGCATCTTCAGGCTTTTCATTTGAATTTTCGGTGTCTTCAACGTCTTCTTTCTCGACTTCCCCCATTTTCTGGGAAGATGTCGCTCCTTGGTTCGCTTCAAGAGCATCTTCAGGCTCTTTGGTTGAGCTTTCGGTCTCTTGGAGGACTTCTTTTTCGATTTCTTCGGTTTTCTGGGAAGATTTCACTGCTTGATCCACTGAAGAAGTTGAAGAAGACTTTTCCAACTCTTGAAATGTTTGATCACTGTGTTCTTGATTCGTTTCGGTCAGTTTGAAGGTTTCAATCTTTGTGTGAAGGATGGCTCATTTTGAAATTGAGCTTCAGGGATGGGAAATGGTTTTTCTTCTTCGTCATTAAGATATTCTCGATCGATTTTTTCCTCCGCTGTTTCGTCAGCCATTGATTGATTTTCTGACGGTTTCTCTGATGGAGCCACAGGTGATGAGGCTTCATTATTTGCACCGTGAAAAGGTGATGCAATTTTCTCTTCGAAATGTGTGAGTTCTGTTTCGTTGGGAACATGAGAAATTGAATCGTTTCGTAACAAAGAAACGCTGGTTTCGACGCTGTCGTGAGATGTGAAGGAATCTTCGAGGACCATTTGCTGAAGCTTCTCGACATCGTCGACTGCATTGAAATCTAAATCTGTTGCTTCCACTGATTCTTCGATTTCCTCGAAGGGATCGATTGCCGTTGCCTTTTCTGGGGTGATTTCTTCGATTTTGGATTTCCCGAGAGAGTCCAGCAGAATGTTTCCAAAAGTTTCAGTTTCTATGGGGATTTTTGAAACAATGCTGCTCGATGTTGTTGGGATTTCGAGGGGCTCTTCCTGCTGGAGTATAGATGCATCTTCCTGAGCTGACATTTCAATTCGAACATTCTCAACATCTATTTCTGGAGATTCGATTTCTTGAGTCGAAATCCGTTTGAAATCATCTGTTTCGTGAAGAAAAATTTCGTTTCCTGCTGAAAATTCTGTCGTGTTTTCTGAGGCAAAAACAAGTTCAGGAGATGAAATAGTTTCCTCTGCATCATCACAGAATTTTCTTTCCAAAATGTCGACAAAACTTTCTTTTAATCCCGCTTTTCCTTCGTTAAAAATATCTAACGAACTTGAAACTTCGGAAGTGTTGAAAACGACATCTACAGGCCTTGAACTTTCCTCGAATTGAAGCTGCTCTTCTGAAAATAAGCCATCGTTTTTAGCAAGCGAACTTTCGGGTGCCTCGAAATACATTTGTGTTTCAGTCAAGTTCCCCAGAATAACTGCTGGTGGTTTCATTTTAGCTTCACCAAGAGCTGGAATTTGGTCAGAATCAGTGAGAAAATTTTGAGAATCCTTGTCGTTTCTCAAACTGTCTTCTAGAATTTGCGTGGGAAAATCCGAGACTGAGCTTTCTTCTTCCACCAGCAAAGAGTCTCCGATTGCTGAGTCAAAGTTTGGTCCTTCCTCTTTGCAGTCAGGAATGAATGAGACCACTTCCGGTCTGAACAAGGCTTCTTCAGACAGCCTGTGTTCGAGAGCATAAGCTTCGGAAGTGAGGGGTTTAATGGCAAAGTTCAATTGAGGTTCGATTTGAGTGAGGGTGATGTCATTCTCATTTGTTTCAGTGGCTGGTGAAGCAGCAGCAGGGATAAAATCTTCTGGTTCGGCCATTTTCTCTGATGATGTCGTAGTCGTGGGTAAATTTTCAGAGATTTGAGAAACTATCGTTTCTTCGCGTTCGTCAGTCAGTGAAGGCAGTGGATTTTCTCCCACTCGAACATCAGCAATTTCTGTTTGATCACTTCCATCATCAACAGCTTCTTCGTGATCATCATTCAATTCACCTTGTTCCACAGCAAGCTTTCCTGAAACCATTGTAACTAAAGATGCTGTTGCGGGTAAAGTTTCAGAGGTTTCGAAGCTGAGAGTTTTTTCGTGCTCGGTTATTGTTTCAGACTCGGCAGAGTCTTGGATTCGAGCGTCGTCAATTTCTTGCTGATGATCTTCAGATTTTGACAAATCATCAAATAATAATTCCTGTTCCTCAATTTTTCCTGAAGGTGCTTCTGTTGGTACATTTCCGTGGGTTTCAATGCAGAAGGTTTCTTTGCACTCGTCAATCGTTTCAGTTAATGCATATCTTTGGGCTTGATCGCCAATATCCTGTTGCTGATGACTTTCAGATGCTGACAAATCATCAAATGATTCTTCTCGTTTGACAAGTTTTTCTGACGCAATTGTTACTGAAGATGCAGTTGCGAGTAAATTTTCCGAGGTTTCAGCAATGAAAGCTTCTTCATGCTCTTCAATCGTCACAGGTGATGATGAATTTTCTTGAACTCGAGCGTCAATTTTTGGTCGATGACTTTCAGATTCTAATGAATCATCGAAAAATGCTTCTTGTTGCGTAATTTTTTCTGAAGCAATTGTTAGTGCATTCGCAGTTGCATCTGAAGTTTCGCCAATTAAGTAGATGTCACACTGTTCCATTGTCACAGGTGATGACTCTTCTTGAACACGATTATCAGCAATTGCTGATGGTTGACGACTTTCAGATTTCAGAAAATCCTGCGATAATTCTTCTTGTCCCACGATTGTTTCTGGAGCAATTGTTGGCGAAGGTGCAGTTGCAACTAAATTTTCCGAGGTTAAATTCTCTTCCCACTGTTTGATCGTCTCGGATGATGAATTTTCTTGAAGTCGAGCGTCAGCAGTTTCTGCTGGTGGAGAGATTTCAGGTGTTACTAAATCCACGAATAAATCTTCTTGTTCCAGCACGAGTTTTTCCGAAGCAATTGTTAGTGAAGGTGCACTTGCAAGTACATTTTCTGAAGCTTTCGCCATTGAGTTGTTGTCACTTTGTTCAATCGTCTCGTCGGGTGATGCATTTTCTTGAACTGGAGCGTCAGAGATTTCTGCTGCTGGTTGACGACTTTCAGATTGCGACACACCATCGAAGAATTCTTCCTGTTCGACGACAAGTTTTTCTGACGCAATCGTCACTATAGAAGCTTTTTCTGGCGAATTTTCAGACGTTTCAGCAAATAAAGTGTCTTCGTGGTCGTCATTCGTCACAGGGGATGCATCTTCTCGTACTCCTGCAACGTCATGTGTCTCAGGCTGATGACTTCCGGATGTTAGTTTATTTGACAGAGCCTGGAGAGATATTTCGGATCCATCAGTAAGCTCTTTGTCAATCTGTTCCTCTTCCTCAGTACTGTGAATCGCAGGAAGAATGAGTGGGCTGAGATAATCCCCATGGATTGTGTCATCAGACGACGAGCCAGACGTCGACGGTAAAATGTGGTCTTCGGACGATTTGCCTCCGTCCTCGGAGTGGTTGACGTGAATCGATTCCCGAAATATTTCTTTGTCATCTGAGGATGCCTTTGGCATTTCTCGGTAGTCGAGAATTTGCGTAATAGTGTCCTGGACGACAATAACTTCGTCAGCATCTTCAGAGACTGTCGGTACTTTGGATGTCGGCTTTTGTTCGGAATCTTTGGATTCCGTCGATTCCTCGGGTTCTTTGCTGCTGCTGGGACCCGTAGTTTCGTCTGCGGCTGTGGATCTGAATGCATCTGCTTCTAAAGTTTCGCAGGAAACACGTCGCGGTGCAAATGTTCGATCAGCCAAACTTTCTGGAATTTCGCCTTGAGTACCTTCTGACGACTCATTGGAGTAGTGAGGGTCTGCTGGTCCCGAAGACGATTGATGGACTGTTGGACGAGTTTCCGACGAGACGAGGAATTCGGATGTAATTTCCCCTTCGTAATGTGCTCTGAAAGTTTCAGACTCTGACGCGGTTTCAAACATTGCAGGTGATTCTAAATTCGGAACAGTGTTTTGAGACGCGAGAATCGTCGTCTCAGCAATGACATCATCCTCGGAAGTTGATGCGAAATCGTTTTTCTCGTCGTCATCTGGCGATTGTTGATTTTTCTCAGCTGTTTCTGACGAGTCCTGCGTCTCAAAAATTTTATTTTCAATGCGTTCCTCGAAGATCTCCTCGCTAAAAATACCTTCTCCCTCACGCTGCGCAATTCCGGGAGAATTTTCAGATTTTCCCGAACATTCCACGGGTGAATTGACTTCATCAGCTTCGGTTTCTCGAAGTGAAATTTGCGATCCCAAGGCTTCTATTTCATTTCTGTCGTTTTAGTGCGGTGGAAAAAAGAGAGGCACATCGAATTTGAAGAGAAATTTGGGATTGTATCGAAACATGATCGATAGGAAATTTATGAGCAATAGACAAACTGCTCGCGACAGAGTCATTTATCGAATATTTTAGAAGCTTTTCATGCAAAATAATCATTTCAATGTTCATGCATTGCTTGAGAACATCAACCAACTAATGCGGTGCGAAATTGAAAATCACTCACGGTTTTTGGACTCCTTCAGGCTGAAGTGTGGCACTTGGAGTGGAGGGATCTGCTGTAAGAAAAAGATTGAATTATTGTTGAGTCAAGAAATTTCAATGCATTTTAACAATGATTATACACACTGTGGTACAATCGCGACAAAATTTCAAGATATATGACATAGAACGAAGCGTGAATCTCTGAATTATTTTAACGGCATCCCGTTTTATTTCACTCGATCGACGCGACCCGAGATTTTTTTTATCAATTCTTACAAGTTTATGATCATCAACAAGAAAAGCAACAGGAACTTTTCAGAATATTCAATATATCGTACTTCTTTCATGAGAAGTCAGAGAATTCAATAAACATTCGTTTTTAAATGAATAGATTGTCCTTGAGACTTTCGCGAATCCAAAAATAATTACTATTTTATTTTATCTGATCCTGCTTTTAAAAATATTTATTGTCAAGAAAGAAGTTAATTCCGCTTACATTTATTTATTTTTTTATTCGGAAGGCTCAGTTGTAGGTAGACAGAATAGTCAAGATTTTTCGGAAAATCGGAAATAATTTCTCACCTTTAGGGCTTTCTGTCGGGGTTTCGTTGGTTTCTTCGGGTTCTTCTGAAGGCAATAAAGGCTCAATTTCTTGATCGCCGCTAGCTTCTTCCTTTCCTGCGTGAATTGAGATTTTTTCTCGATTTTCGCTTTCTGCAGTGGGATCCGAAGCAACGATTTCACTCAGTTCATCTGCGAATCCTCTTTCGATATGTCGTTTTCCCGGAATCTGGTCTTTTTCATTCAAAGACGAGGAATCCGCGTTGCCTTCATCTTTTGTTCGAGGAATCTCGGAACTTTCGTCGCTTTTTCGCTCCACGGATGAATGGCTCAGCTTTTCGGAAGCACTCGCGTTTCCGTCTCTTATTATTTTCGTTCTCGGGAATACTTCTTTTTCAAAGAGATCCTCTTCGCCTTCGGCCAAAGGAACGGCGGCTGCTTCGACGTAATCCTGCACCCTGAGATCTTCCACATCGCTGGACTCGGAATCCCGCGGCGGTCGACGAGAGTTTTTGATAGGTGTCACTGCTACGTCCACGTCACTCAGGTCGTGGATCTCCACGCTTTCGGAACGTGTTGTGACTTGTTCTTGGCGGCTGTGTTCCAGAGACTTTGTGTAGGACCCGACTCCGTTTGTGCCTGCGAAATTGTTTCCAATCACAGCGCCGATCCCGGCATCACTGCCAAAAGCTGCTGTTGTGCCAAGTGTCGAACCTCTCTGCAAATGAAGTGTACTGCACTTTAAAAATTTTAAAAAGACTTTCAAGGTGGAAGGGAAAAATACAATATCTTTAGAGTTTTTCTCTGCAAAGTCATCTCGGTGAATTCATGGGAAAGGCTTCTTTACTCTTTATAAATCTGGAGAATGTTGAGAGAAGAGAACATATATGGGCTCTCGACGAAAAACGTCCATCTAAATTCGAAAATTGGCATAGAGTAAAATCAGAGTTAAAAAAAACAAAATGACACAAATATTATGTAAAGATCGGTGCATAAATTTCCCTCGTTGAATTGAATAAAGTTAAACAATGGGAAGCATTTTTTTAAAAATGTGTTTCTTGTGATCTATGTTCTCTTTTACTTATTGCGACATATTTGGGATAGTAAATATTCATTGGAATAGACATTTCGTCTGATTTATTTGAATGATGATTAAAAACGTGAATCTAAGCTACATAGCGGAACACAGCGTAGACCACGACATTTTAAAATTATTTGCAGAAGATTTTTTTTAATGCACGCGCTAAAAAGAAGAGCTTCGTTTGAACATCGGTGCATTGCAATTTTTAAAATAAATTTTGCTATCATACTTTCTCCTCGTTTTCAATATGTACGAAGAAAGTGTTCAATGCCATTTTCAAAGATTAATCGAAGCTTAAATTCAGCTTTCGGTCTTTTACATTTTTCGAAATTCGGAGTTTCACTAAACTTTTCGACCTTAAGTACACCATTTGTGTACGGTTTTACAAGAAGAAATATTTCAAGCCGTACACCTTGTTTTGAAATTAATTATAGGATCAGCAAAAAAGATTCAGAATTTTATGACAGTATTTGAGGTTACTTGAAAGTGTGGTCAGAGAA